CGAGTCTCCTCACAGGCAGGCCCAGATCGGGACAGGCGCCGGGGAGGGATAAGGGAGGATCAGCCGCCGGGCAGCACCCCGGGAGAGGGCCCGGCTCCTGCTCGGGCCCGGCTCCTGCTCGGGCCCGTTGCCACATCTGATGGAAGGAGAACGCTTGGGAAGCCGAGGGGAGCCCCCTCCTCGCGCTCGTCTCCGAGGGGAAACCGATTTCGGGGCGGGGAAGCCCTGCTTTGCAGGCAGGAGAGGGGATCCCCCAAAAAGCAGGGCCCCGGGTGGGCTGCCAGGCCGCAAAGCGGCTCCCATCGCCTCACGCAGTGCGGTTACCGCACCTTTCCCCCTCCCGCCGAAGACGCCAATGCAAAATAACAGCATTTATGGATCGGGGGACACTTCAGGATGGCGAGAGGGAGCCTTCTGGTCGCCACACTTGGTGATCGAAGGGGAGCTCGGTGGAGACGCACGGGCATGAACTCGGCAGGAGGAGCCGGGCAGTCTGGGTGGGTTGGAGCACGGTCCTTCCCCTCTGGGGATAATGACTAAACCGGTGTCCGGGATCGCAGGTTGGAGGAGGTTAGTGGTCTCATTGTAGTTCTCCCTGAATATATTTGTTCCCATCGTAAAACCGTGAGACAATTCAAGGAAACGGGACATCGCTGTTCAGGAGACGGTCGGGGTTGGTGCGGGTCAGGGGAGAAGCTGGCTCGCAGGACTCTGCTCGTGTTACAGCTGGCTCCGGGTACTGCTACCGGTCATTTAAAACCCAAATTCTTGAGGAATCTTGCCTTACTAAAGCGTAACAAAACAAAGTAAACTCGGAGCAAAATCCAGTTTATAAGGTATTGCTTTTCAAGTGAAAGGAAGGTCAGGCCGAGCGCTGCAAAACGGCCCAGCCCTTTCTCCCATGGGGTCAGTAGCGAAATTCCCGCTGACCTCAATAGGAGACGGATCGAGGTTTAAATACAGAAGAACGGGGACTGCAGTGAAACACCAAGTAAGCTGCGTTAAAAGCAACTTGGTTAGAAATGCTGCAAGTTCAAATGCTTTGAATACCATCTGGTAGCTGGGAAGCCAAGTCTTCTGCAGCTAGCTGCGATGCTGGCTTAGCTGTTAACCTTGAGCTAGGAGAGCTAGGCAGAATTAAATGCTGGGTGAAAAAAATAAAGGATCGGCACACATCTGATGCTATCAGCAGGAGCTGAAAGAATACTTCCCTCTTTTCTTCTTTAGAAGAAAACAGCAATGATGGAAACCTAATGTTTCCGTGTGCGTTCATTAATCCTAATGATTAGGTGCTGACAGCTGTAAAGAACGAGAAGAAAGCTCTTGGTTAAAATAAAACGGGAAGAACAAGATTGTTCCTGCTGCCTTCTCTCCTGCCTGCCTTCCTTCCAGGTCTGGGCAGACAACTCTCCGAAGCAGGAGGCGGCTTCCTCTCCGTTCCCAGCTCCATCCCAGGTGTCTCTGTCTACAGCGTTAAGTGTACGAGTCAACGAACCCAGCAAAGAGCTCCTACGGCTGGCACGCCTGTGTCAAGAAAACTGTATTTTCTATCAACCAGATCAAGCCACTTAGGGCAAGCAAAACAAGCCAGCCAAGTAAAATTACACTTTTTTTTATTACACCCGTGTTAATGCCTTAAATCGCAGTGTTCCTGCTAGACTGGTCAGGTACCCAGTTGATACAGCTGCACCAGCAGAGATTTGCCCAGGCTGCAAAGGGACGACCGCCCTTCTGGCAGTCCCCTGAGGACATCCCCAGTGAGAGGGGACTCGTGGCAGTGGATCTATGGCCCTTTTTTCGTATTAGCAACAGGAGGTCACTGCTATTTGTCCTGTGATTTTAAACCCCGGAGCTAGCATAGAAAGGTTTCCACCCCAGCGCTGCCCCGTCCCTCCTTCGAGCAGGCTGTACCACGCCTTGGATGTTGACCCGAGCCACTCTATCAAATCATTCCTAGCCGCAACATTTCAGCTGTGTTGGCAGAGCCAGAGTTCAAGGCCGTTATTTGCAGTATGAGTTCGGCATCAGAAGCCGATAGCCGTGGCACCTCCCTGGAAGCTGCGCCGGCAGCAGGGTAGTCCACGCAGAGAAAGCAGATGGCGGCAGCGAATCCAGCGAGTGGGAGTAGAGGGGCTTGTTGCGTGGCGAGGAGCAGGAGGATAACGAGCAGTGCTGCAGTGCGATGTCTGGTATGCAAGAGGTTCGCCCAGCAAAGACAAGGCAGGCACAGCCTCCCCCAGCTCTGCCCGGCCACGGCTGCCCTCCCAACCAACCTAGCGAAGAGCGGCTGGCCAGGAGCCCCCAGCCACAGCCATAATGTGAATATCGCCCACACAGCGACTACCGCCATGTGGGGCTGAGCACACCACTAATTAACTAATGAGTTTGTTCCAAATGTCTGGCCACGGTGTGAGTGACAACAGGAACAGCACTGAACAATGACAAGTACATTCGTCTCCTCTTGCTGACCCCAGCCCCGCATTAACAAATAGGTCGCAAACAACAGTGCTTTACAGTGATCTAATCCTCCAGCCATATGTCGGCTGACTGAAGAAATACAGCAAAAAAAGCTGCACAGAGAACACCAAAAAGGTCTGCAAAAATTCTAAGGAAAGCTTGATAAATATGTCCCTGCAGTCTGCAATTTGATTTCCTCACTCTATTGTTTCTCATTTCCTGAGAGC